CAGATATTGGTGATAAGAGAGCGGTTAGAGTCATCTGGGACAGTTCAGCAGTGTGACTGTTGCATCTCACATCATTATATACATGACAGCATCTCATGAGGCTTAAATTCTAAAAAAAGAAATTGCAGTTGCAGTGTGGCTTGTTTTCTTTTTTGTTAGGGTGGCATTTTTCCGTGTGGCTTTGTAATTCTCATGAAGGGGGGTGAATTGTTCCTGCTGATATTGTAGTTTATTTGCACACACTGTGTCTGCGTTGTTAACTAAAGGAAATCAGATAATAAGATAGCAAACACGACTTAAAGGTACTGTACTGTATTTCCTGGGACTGCACAACATCGCTCCATCACTGCACTTGCACTGCTCAGGTGTCTAGATTGCAATCGACTGATATATATATATATATATATATACCAGACTATATCTATGCACACTATGTGTAAAGTTGGGTAATCAGTAAATAAGAAGCAGGTTTGTCATGCAGATCTGTTGTGTGCTGAAGTGACAGAGCTGTTTAGTACCCAAAAAGATATTTCATTTAACTGTTGCATCAAAGAACAGTTTTTATAAAATCTACATTGTAACTTTAATATAAATGGTGTCATTCTTCTCTTTCATAGGTACATTACATATGCTTACCTAGTCACGTTGAGGGGGAAGATTTTACTCTACAGGAACGTCATAGTTATGCCACTTCTGTTTAAATCCCTTAACTGTCACCGTCCCGTATACGGGACGCCTAAGTTTACTTCACTATAGTACAATTAAATCCTCATATAATCATGACAAACTATATATCATTGGAAAGGTCTAAGCCACCTAAATAGATATTTACAACATTAATAGATTAATTTATGACAAGAGTGCACCAAGACTCTGACAAATCTACATCATAACAGGAGTTCTGACCTTTGTCACAAAAAGTCTTTATTTCGTTGCATTTTTACCTATCTCATGTTTTATTAATCATCCGTATATACCATTTGAAAGCTTAAAATCTCAGAATTTATCCTGTGAAAACCATTTTGAAATCGGACATTGCGTTACCATAGAAATGGTATTTCAAAATATTTTAGCAGTCTCCTCCCCCTTAGCGGGGGTGTCATTACAAAATGTATTACGGTCTTTTAGAATCAAAATGTTTTATAATCTTGACAGCTCAATAGAATAGAGGTGTTAATTGGCCAATGAATCTGGTATAAGCAGAAAATTGTCTGTGCATGTAAGCATAACGTAAGCGTAGGCTGGATTAAATTTTTGGTAGCTAGATTGAAAATGTTTACAATGTGTTTATTTCAACCCAACTGTTTCACTTCAAGGAGAGGAGAACCTCCTGTCCAGCACCGCAGCAACATGGACGCCTGTGCACGGATCAGAGGGGTCCCGTTACAGAGCCGTCCCACCATGAAGAAAGAGGTACAGTGCTGACTACCATGATTCAGTTCTATTGCATTCATTTCTAAGCTCATTCAATTTCCAATACGTTTTATTTTTGTTTGAGCAGACCATCCGTGAGGGCTCAAACCCGGGCCTGAAGAGCCTGTTGAAACACAAGAAGGAGCTCTGCAATGTGGTAGTGGAGCTGCATAATAAAGAACCACAGTCTCTATCAGAAGTAAGGATTGAATATTATGTATATGCATGACTGCAACTGCAAAGAAATAATTTTTGCAGTGGTTAAAGGAATATTATGGGTTCAAAATAGTTAAGCTCAATCTTGTCCCTCTTTTCACTTGCTCCTCAGTTTTTTTTAAAAAGCAAAAGTTTGGGCTACAGTGAGGCACAGTGGAAGTGAATGGAGCTGATCCATGAACATTTCAATAGTGTAGCCACAAGACATAAGTAATATGTGTGTTAGGGTCAAAGACGAGACAATTGACTGTCCGCAAAGAGCTTGAATGACAGGCGATCTGACCAATCATAATGCCGAATCTGCCATCTTGCCTGACAAACAAATCAGACAAGAGAGTACATTAACGTCGGTGGACTTTGACATCTTTCCACGGTTGAAATAAAATATGTTATGATGTTCATTTATGTTTATCTCGTCCTTTAAGTAAATATGAAAAGACGATCAGTTCACGTGTGGAGCTACAGTGATCCCTCAAGACACATTAAAGAGCCACAAAACGCTATTTATTGTTTGAATTTCTTAAAAAAAATACAAAATTTGAAAGCTGAGACCTTGTTTCATACCAGAAGTAACCTGCTCTGTCTTGTTGTCAGTTTCCTTTTTGCTCCGCGATGCATTTTTACTGCGTGAGAACATGGTGTGTAGTGTGAGAGAGGCATGACTTGTCGGACATGGCAACAGTAACTAAAGAGGGCGGGTTTTTGTGAAATTTACGAACGTGATTTATATACATAAAAAGCATATTAAATGCTAGTGTCTACATTAATGTGTAAAATAACTTTGGTGGAAAAAATAAAACAAAAATATGTGTGAAATGTCATTCAGCCTAACAGATATATTTATGTAAAAATGAAACAACATGCTTATTCTGACCTGTACTTATTAAAATATATAAAAGAAAAGCTGATCATACTAAAATATATTATATATTTTAAAAACTTCTTGCAGACAAATGGGGTAAAACCTAGTGGTTCGAAGGATAATGTTAAAGATTTAAAATTGCAACTTATTTCTGGGTGCTGCACTGTGATCCTTAAATGACATCTAATGATTATTTTTGGTATATGATCTATTGATACACTAAATGACATTTTAGTGGGTGTCTTCTTTCAACCATGTTAAAAACATTCTAATGTACAGGGGGAAAACCCATTTTAAAGCTATATTAAACTTTTTATTGTTTTGATACTTGACAGCCCTTTTTGTCTTTGACCCATTGCAAGTTGCATACTGACGTCTTCTATGTAAAATTATATTCAATTTGACAGCTTAATTTCATGACAACATAACACCACAAACCCCAAAATGACTATAAAAAGACAAGAACAACTTTGCAGCTGAAATAATACACACATTTCAACAGAAGAATGAAGGTAAGCGCTTTTATAAAATTATAAACTGCACTTTTCTATGTTTTACGATAATTTCCATTATAAGTGCCTCACTGTAACATGGATTTTTGCTTTTTTTTTCCCCTTTATGTTTTTGAGAAAACAAGAGACTAGTGTAATTTTTAATGTGCTAGTCAACATGAATATGCAACAAATGCTGTTGATTGGGCTGAGCTGGAAGAATACGTACACAGATGTTTCAGTTTAAATGTTTCGTGACCTCTTTTTGAGTTGAGTAATTTTGAAAGCCTCTACGACAACAGATATTGGCGATAAGAGAGCGGTTAGAGTCAACTGGGACAGTTCAGCACTGTGACTGTTGCATCTCACCTCATTATATACATGACCGCATCTCATGAGGCTTGGGTGAATTGTTAAATTCAAAAAAAAGAAATTGCAGTTGCAGCGTGGCTTGTTTTCATTTTTGTTAGGGTGGCATTTTTCCGTGTGGCTTTGTAATTCTCATGAAGGGGGGTGAATTGTGCCTGCGGCTATTGCAATTTATTTGCACACACTGTCTGCATTGTTAACTAAAGGAAATCAGATAATGCAAACACAACTTATAGGTACTGTACTGTATTTCCTGGGATTGCGCAACTTGTCTCCATCACTGCAATCTAAACACCTGAGCAGGGAAAGTGCAATTGACTGCTAGGCATGCATAGGCACGCATCTCCATCACTTGGTCATCATTTAGTCATTTTTAAGGTGGACTGATGTGTAAAGTTGGGTAATCAGTAAATAAGAAGCAGGTTTGCCATGCAGATCTGTTTAGTGTATAGTGTATTCGCCCACAAAGACATTTCATTTAACTATGGCATCACAATATAAATGACATAATTGTTCTCTTTTATAGGTACATTATACCTAGTCACCTAGTCACGTTGAGGGGGAAGATTTTACTCTACAGGTACGTCATAGTTATGCCACTTCTGTTTAAATCGTCACCGTGTCATTACAAAATGTATTACGGTCTTTTAGAATCAAAATGTTTTATAATCTTGACAAAATACATATCGTTGGAAAGATCTGAGTCTCAAGATTCCATATGATAGGATAGACGTAATATTGAGAGAGAAATTTATAGATTTGTGACAGAAATGCATAAAAAAAAAGTTTGTGTGGCACCCGGTGGCTGTTTTTGGTATAACGCCTAAACAAAATTGCATATGAACCTCAATTTATTTTATATCAACTTCAAATTTGGAACACAACTTATGTAGACATATGGCTTTAATTTTATAGCAATTTTGTATTTTCAACTTTTTTAAAATATTTATTTTATATAAAATAAAAATAGTACAATACATTTTCTTTAAAGTAAATTTAAACTTCTATAACTTTTTAATACTTTCATTTTATTAAATGATTTCACTTCTGTAATAATCTACTAAATGTCTTCTTTAAAAAGAGACCAACCTTAGGTCTGTATTCAAGAGCGTTTCAGGAATTATAATTTAAGTTTGGATAGTGCACTTTCTCATGAATTTTTAAAAATGGATGACAGTTAAGGGGTTAAACATTGTATGAAAGTGTGTGTGTCCATGTCAACCTTTATAATACAAATGTATGTGTGTGTGTGTGTGTATGCGCACACAATAAAAATATATCATGGTTTCCATAACAATAGTAATATTATTGGATTAATGGCTGCTGAAAATTCCAAAATAAAAGTACATTTTAAAACAGAAAGCAGTTATTTTCATTGTAATATTATTTCATAATATTACTGTTTTTACTGTATTTTTCCAAATAAATGTAGCCATAGTGAGTATAATGCTTCTTGGAAAAATTTCAACCTCAATTTATTGTTACTGTATGAAACCGATATATTTTAAACATTATAAACTTTCTTTCATACTGTGTTTGTGTGTGTGTGTGTGTGTGTGTGTATATATATATATATATATATATATATATATGTGTGTGTGTGT